CCCCCAAGTCCCTCCCCAGGACCCCCCCACTGCTCTCTGCCCCGAGCTCCCCCCCAGGCCTCCCTCCCCACTGCTCCCGAGCCCCCTCCAAGACCTCTTTGACTGCTCCCCCAGCCCGAGTCCCCCTGGCTCCTCCCTGCCCCCTGCTTAGGACCCCTCTCCGGCTGCTCCACCACCCGAAGCCCCCTCAGGAGCACACCCTCCTTGGGTTGCTGCAGCCAGGGCGGGGGCCTGCTGTATCACTCAAAGGACTGGAGTTGCCTGCAGGAGGAGACGAGGGAAGGGGTTGGGGGGTCCCACACAGAAAGTGACTGAGACTCCCTGGCTTGCGGGCTCCGAGCAGGAGCGGCAGCGGCCCAGGCCCAGAGCTGAGGGACCGTAGGTGTGTCTTGCCCAGACTCAGCCTTCCTTGCCAGGAGATGCCCTGGCGCCAGTGGGAGTGGGTAGAGGTTTCCTCCAGGCATGGAAGTGGCCCAAGCGCTGGGAGCTCACCTCTGTGTCACCCATTGCTGGCTTTCCTTTGCCAGGGGCCACCCCCTATGGCAAGGGCTGGATGTGTGTACAGAGAAGTCTCACCTGGTCCCTTACTAGATGCACCCCCTCTGGCCTGCAACCTGGAGGCTTTTTGTCTTAGACCAGCAATGCTACCAAGCCAACTAGGACAGGGAGCGGAGACTTAGCCTCTCTCAGAGAAGCAGCGGGATAAATTTAGATGGGCAGAAAGTCATTATCCAAAATAGAAGCTCTCCTCCAGGGAGTTGTGGTGGCCAGAGCTCAGCAGGAGCTCCGTTTTGCATCTGAAGTTGAAAACGGCATCATCGCCGCAGCCTACTCGAGCCTGGGCCTTGATTCAGTGTAGATTTGGAGGGAGGAAAACCAGCCATTAAGTCTCTAAACTGGCTTCCCGGTGAGTTGCAGGGCCTCCTTGGATGGCACTCATCCAAATCATGGTCTGCTTTGTTTTGTGAAATCAGGTACAGTTACAGCCTGAGGGGATTCAGCTGCAGGCAATAATAGTGTATAAAGCAGTGGTTTACAAGTTTTTGGGTTGCATACCCTTTTTTTTTTAAGTTCATTATACTGTTGTGCATGCCTATACTTCTATGTTATGGATAATACAAAGTCATCTTTTCTGTCAGTACCATACAATCGCACAGTAACTTCTCCAACCACCTACGACCGGGGTGTCAAGTATACAGCCCTGGGTCTGATCCGGCCTCTGAAGTTGTGTCGTCTGGCCCACTGAGCTCCTTGCAATGGCCAGGCATTTAGGGGTGGAGCAACCAGCTTTGGCATTAATCCCCAGGCCTTCCAGAGCTAATGCAGCAGCTCAGGGAATTGCAGGTTACTACTGCCACTATATACCCTGCCACTGAATCTCAGGGTACATGGTGCTGTTGGGACTTGTTTTGGCAGTGGCAGGGCAAGAGAAACCTTTGTGGCTCCCTGAGCTGACAGCAGCTAGGGCACCTGTCGCAGTTAACATCTATGCTCACCCCACTGCTGGAGGTGGGTCCAAATCTGGCCCAGAGGGTCAAGCAAGTTTGTTTCCCTTGAACTGAGAGAGAACTTAGTTGTTTCCGGGGGTTTTTTGTTTTCTTTTTCTTCCTATTCTTCCATTTATATTTCCTCTTTCCTTGGTTCTGCTTTTCCATTCCTTCTTGCATGATCTCTAGAAATTTGCTGCTTACCCCTGGGGATAGGTGTAATCCACTTGGACACAAGAGGTTCTGGGTAAGTAGGGAGAGAATTTAGATTACATAATGCAGACTTTTCCATCTTTTAATTCATTTTTTTAATGCTTGGGCTTGGTGAATAGTGAAAAAAGGGAAAAACCATTTTCTCCTTTCTTGAATAACTTTTAAATCCTCCTAAGACAAGGGCAGCATTTTCCACTTACAGAATCCAGTCATTCAGTTTCAGTTAGCAGTGACACCTTCTGTTGCTTTTGGGAAAATAACTTTCCCAGGTATTGAGGTCTAAATTTTTCTAGATTTTAACCACACTATATTATTTAACATGAACATGGATAAAAATATTCAGCAAATAGATGTTGGAAAACTTTATGATGTTCATGAATGGTGTCAGCTTGGCACAAAATGTACGCTCTTCTTTCGGAGAGATTCGAGTTCTGCCTAATGCCTAGGTTCCAGTGCAAAATTAGGACAGTATTGCACTCTTATAAATGATCTTTTTTGGAGTGTAATATTACACTTTATTTTTTGCTTAATTTTGACAGTTATCTATGACAGAGATGAAAGTTTCCATGGTGTTTTTAGAATGGAGGCAGTTTAAACAAACAATCTTTCCCTCTCCCCCCCCAGGAAAACAAACAAACAAAATCCCATTTTGCCTTGGTAACATGCCCTTCCTCAGTACAATGTTTTCTGCTTTGTATTTCTGAACTTTTGTTGAGCACACATTGGCTTCTGTATTTGCCTGCAACTTAACAGTGCCGCTGGTCTCTGTGCCACTACTCTAATTCAAGTGCTGTGTTGCACCTTGAGTTTTTATTTTGTTCAAGAAAGCAGTGCACATATGAATACATCTGTGAAATTACTTCTTAGTGCAGTCAGGAGAACACAAAACGTATTGTAAAATAGATTTCTCAGTTCCTTGGGATGGGAAAATTTTCAGACCTGTGAAACAGTTTGCCTAGTTCCGTGGCAGATTTCCTTTTATGTTTGCAGAACGGGTTATATAGTTCTCCTGATTCTGCTGTCTTTGAGAAACTGCCACATTTGTTTTTATGAGCCCCTGGCTTCAGTTAAATCTTGTACATATGTCGTTGGTGTTCAACTCTCTTTAATTTTTTTAAATACAGAAAACCCTAGATCATTCAGTTTCTTCATTTATACAATACTACTTTATTTTGCCAACCTTGGTAGATATTTTGTTGTCGGCTAGTGACTCTGCTGTGACTAATATACCCTCTTGTAGAAAGTGAAGTCAGTATGAATATCAACATAAATCTTTTAAAGATACAGCCATATGCTAGCACTGTACTTGGATAAAATGAATTTAATTTAGACATGATTTGTCCAGTCATAAATGATAAGTGCAGTAGTTCTTCCTGACTACAGCTCTTCAGCAGTTTTGCTCACCTTGGCTTCACTGAAAGATCAGAGCTCCATAAAGAGTTTAGAATTTTCACTTAAATAAAAAGAGATTGGAAAAACCTAAGGGCTTAAATTAGTTAAATCTTTTAATTTTAGGATGAAAAACAGTACTATAGACAACCCTGTCAGGCCCTTAGAGATAAAATTAAGAACTGCATTCAAGGTGGGAAGACACTTCTAACCAGTCCAAGGCTACCTTCTACATACCCCTCTTTTAAAAATATTACTGGAATTTAGCTATTGGGAAATGTGGCATCTTACTGGGCAATTCAGCTCCCTTTAATGTCAAGGGAAAATTCCAACAGACTTCATAGGGTTTGGGCTGGGCCAGTAGAGCTGGCTCTTGAAACTGCATAATGGAAACAGTACTAGCAGTGCCCTACACAATACCCCAGTGCTCCCCACTATTCAGCCTTATTAATTATACCAGTTGTAGTCTCTATTTGTCTATAAAGTAATCCATAAAATGGACTACTTGTATGAGTAAGGATTACTCACCCAGGTAAAGCTTTGTAAAATAAATCTCTTGAATCCCTCAGTACCTTTGCTTACATGTCTGAATGTACAGAGTTGGAAAACTCAAGCTGTTCCACAAAGTCAGAAAATAATTACTGTATTGAAATTTGTTTATTAAATAATTGATTCTGGCAAATGCAGTTTCAAAAGGAAAAAAGAGGTGTTTATTAAAAATGTTATTGGAGGCATTGCAGAAAATGTGCATTATGTTCCTTATTATGTTGTTATTTATTTGTATGGTGGCAGCATGTAGGGGCCACAGTTGTGGATGAGGGTCTTCTCATTCTGGGCATTGTACAAACAAAGACCAAAAAGAGGTTACCCATCATGAAAAGTGTATAATTAAGACAAGAGCCAACACATGGATACGTTAAAAGAAGAGAGCAAGAAAATGAAGTGTATGTGTATGCTGCTATTTAGAGTCCTCTTTAGCTCACTCAAGCCAGTTGCTTGACCTTACCCCATGTACAAGTTACCTTGCAACCACTACACTTTGTGCTTTCTGGTCTAGGGCCTTACCCACTACTTATGTCTCCTGCGATTGGTTGATATTACAGGCAGGAAAGAGAGGAAGCGGGGTGCTAAAGTTAAAAGCAGGGATTTGTAGTATTGTTGCTTGCCAACTAACTCCCTGTGGCTTGCAATGCCTGGTTCTGAACAATGTGTAGATGGGAGCAGGGCTGGTTTCAGGCTCTGACTCCAGGGGTAGTCTGAACTACATCTAAGAATGGAATTTAGGGTTTTCAGTGTTAGGTTGGTCAGCAGGTTTGAGCTTATGGGCAGCCTAAGTAACAGTGTAGGTGTATTCGATGTTAGTGGGGACCAGCCTTTTTGTTAGGGTGCCACAATGTAAGCCCTGTACCCTCCCTGAGACTCTGATCCCCTTCCTCTGCCTGATCCATTGCTGTTTTCTGCTCCCTGTTTTATCAGTTGCTATGTTCCCTGGCTGCCTATACATGTGCTCATTGGTGTTCTAATTAGAACACTTCAACATTGCCAGGGTCACATGTATTAAGCCCCTGCACATTTTAAAATGGTCACAGGGCACTTTATCTAAACTTCATTGGATGAAGTTTAAATAAAGCATTGCACAGCCAGTTTTAAACGTGCAGGGGCTTACTACATGTGACAGTGAAGCATTTTAATTAGAGTGGTTGTCCAGGAGCCACTCTAATTAAAATGCCCTCCCCCATCCCCAAGCATGTGTATAAGCAGCCCGTTCCCTTGCTGATCTGCTGCTTGTTACATATATAGGCAACCCATGCCACTTGTAGCAAGCATGTCATAGGGTAAACAAAACCAGGCAGCAATCATTGTTTCACACCAGCTGCATAACCATGGCTTATTGTTTTGTGGACATCATGTCTAATTATTAAAATAGAAGGCAGGGTAGATTTGTACCTTATAGGGTAACTAAAAGTGTTTGGGGGAGTGGGTGTATGTGTTTACATATACATACATGCACACAGCACAAGCTTTCCTGGAATGAAATTCACTTCATAAGATGCTGTGAAAGGATATGCATGAAGCAGTATATAAGAAGGAGAGAGTAATTTGTGTTAAAGTAACATGCAGTGTGGTTTCACAACACTGAAATTTCAGCATTGCTCAATGTGAAACAATGGCAGGATTTTTAATGAACGGCATATGGAAGAGACCTTTGGTCTCTTGGTTGGCACCATATCCTGACATGAAGTTCTGTGTTTTAAGAAGGGATTTATTGTCCCATATAGTCAATTCCTATTAGTCTCTTCAAAGTTTTGCACAGAGTTTGATGTCAGGATACGATGCCAGCCAAGAAACAAAGGTCCCGATATGTTGTTTATTGACAATCCTGCCCATGTTTCACATTTTGAGCTATGTTGTAATTTTACCATGTTGTGAAGCCAATCTGTGTGCTATTTTAAAATTAACATTTTCTTACAGACATCCTTCACCCTTACCCAAACATAGGGTTTGGTCTTGTGAAACCATCTGTGCACAGAACTTAAATTGCAGCTTTGGGCATGGGTTTCGTTGCTGCAAATAGTATATTCTAAAATGTGACTTGTCAAACCCAACAGATATATATGTTCAAACCAGAGACTAAAAAAGTCAAATTTAGATGGTGTTGGTGGAACCAAAAAAGTTGTTTACTTAAAAAAGCTCAGCGTAACACTTTCTAATAAATAGCAAAGCAGGTAGCATAGTGTTCATATGTGATATTATTATTATTATATTATTATTATTATTATTAACCGGAAGAGTCTTTTAAAGTATTATATTGAGACAA